AAATCAATGGAAGTGTATGGGGTGCTCAGCTCAAGAGAAAACAGGAATAGCAAGCAGGGTAAGTCTGATTTTTTAAAACACATTGCAAAGATCACAGCATCACTAATTTTTTTAAAGCTGGCCAACTCAGGCTACTACCAGCATCCACAGACATCTTCTAACAGCCATTGCTAAAGGTGTTTCTCCTCAGCTGTGGGAATCCAGTGCAGGGTTGAGGTGTCAGGCAGTCCATCCTATGCATGTTTTCTCAGAAGCAAATATCACTGATTGAATTTGAATTTACAGCCAAGTAAAAGTGCACAGCCTCACTGTAATGTATCCATATCAGACCGCGTGCGCGGCCATTTCGCCAAGCGGTCAGGCAAAGCGACCGAGCTTCGCCCTCAGTAACAATGGGACAAGAGGATCCTAGCCGGCACCTATCGGCAGGCTAGGCTCCTGGCTGAGAGCCTATGGAACTCTCGGCCACTGTAAATAGCCAATCACATGTCTGTGGGTGTGTTTGGGGAGTGAGGTTTGTGCACATATAAACCAGCCTGCGAGCTGGGTACTCTCGTCTTGTTCTGAGCTGAAATAAAGTATGAGAGCTGAAATCACTAGTAAGTCTCAATACTTTTCACTAACAATCTTTAAATGCAGCAGCCTAGAAAGATATTTCAGGTTAAGCTAATTGCCAGTATCACTTTAGGCCCTAAATGTTTGTGGGTGAACTTAATTTCAAAGACCGAGCAATACAACTTACACTGAACAGATCATGCAAGTGGAAATTAAACAACGCAAGAAAATAAGAGAAAGCCATAAACACAATTGCATAAAATCCTTGCTGTTCTAGCATCCATTTTGTAAGCAATTTTTGTTTTATGCATTCATTACCATTCTGCAGCATCAATGCTTGCTGCTTGCTGCCTGTTCTTAGGTTTTATACAGCAGACAAAAGCCCAGAAGGTTTTCAACAGCTGATACAGTTGTTTAGACTATTGGCCATCAATAAAGGAAGAGCTCACTCAGTTTGGCCAAGTGAAAGCTATGCGGCTTCCCACTGGGTGAAGCTCCCTTTAGGTACCTGGTTACTGTCAAGCCATCAACAGCTCAAGCTCTGGGAGAAAGAGGAACATGACAGAGGGAATCAGCATCACCCCAGCATAGATATGGCATCTGTGTCATTCTTTCCTCCTTTTTCCTTCTGGCCTACGTATTTCATATGCTATGCACACAAAATTGGGTTTATTGTTTCCCATCTTGGGTGACTTACATAGGAAGATTAGAGCACCTTCATTATTGTATTGGTTTTATTGTGGTTTTAAATGTTGTTTATTTTATTGTATTTTATCTATTCAATTCGGCTTTGCCGCATGTTAGCCGCCCTGAGCCACTGGGAGGGCAGGATACAAATCTAAAAATAAATAAATAAATAAAATTACATCCTGGTACTTTGAATCAATTTATCGAAGATAACCACAACTGCTTGGCTTAATACAAGCCCACTGTGTGAGTTCAACAGGTTCATTAAATGGGTAACTATCCCAGACTGAGTGATTGAAACTCACTTTGAAGGCTGCCATCTTCCAGGGTTGCCAATTAGTCAGCTTTAACCTTGGTGACTACTTGAAATTTTTCCATCTCTTATACCCAGGTTTGTTTAAAAAATTCTACTTAACGATCATGGATAGTTTTCTATTTGCAGACATTTAGATTAATTAGCATGTGCAAATAATATCTTTTCACAGAGAAATATTCAATTCTCTGTGGATTAAGGCATTTGTGTAAAGTATTAACAGAGGGAAGGGAGATTAGAAATAAACCTACGTTGTTCCTTGTTACTTTTAGTAGGCATGACTTTCACAACAGTTGTTTAGTTTTATGTATTTGTAGCAAATGAGGCAGAGGTCTTTTCTAAAAGTATGGCTTTTGTTGCTGGCATGGTTTATGCTGCTGGTAAAATACAGCTTTTCCTCTTAGCCAGTTCTTCCATTGATACTGTGTGCTGTGTAGAAAGTACCGTATTTAAGAAGCTTTTACCAGCACTTTCTCCATAAATGGACTCCTAGTGGCCTACACAAATTAAAATCATAACAATTACAAAAACATTAAAACAATCAAGACCACCAACATTTTACAACCATAATTTCATGGCACCTACTGGATAGTGTCCATGTTAACACTAGTAACAAGTAGCATTAGTTCCATAAGACTTATAGAACTTTGGGTTTTTTTTCAGGTGTACGCTCATATTCTTCATTCCTGTGTGCTAGAACATTCATAGAGCACCAGCTCTTTTAAAAAGAAAAGTTGAAAAAGTATCCAAGCTGCATTATCAATACACTCATCCAGCCATCCCATGAATCTTTATTGGAATGTTTTATTAATTTCCTTGCTGCTTGTAAATTCAACCTGTATGGCACCAGTGTCTGCGGCTTGGATCCAACAGAAGTTTCCACAGACAGATTTCCATCCATAGAGTGAAGCTTCCTCAACTTCCCCTGCCTGCTGCATTCCAAAATGGCACACTTTCTACTTTCATTCTTAATCATTTGTCAGGCAAGAGTTGGTATTATCCAGAAAGGAACACCAAAAAAATAATGTGCTTAGAAAGCTGTGTATGACTGCAAACAATGCTATAGTTGGCTTGTGTATTTTGTTAAAAAATAGAGAACAGGTGGAAGCTCTGGGATTTCTCTGCTTTAACTTAGAGGGGACAGATGCAAAAGAGGACAGTGCCCCTGACCTTTACTAATTGCATAACAGTAGGAAATTTAACAGATACAGCTTGCCATGGCAAGATGAGAAACTGTTGGATCCCCAAGCATCGAGAAGGAGGCTGGGACTCAGCATATCTGGCCATCATTCTGTAAGTATACGCCCACAACTGAATCATTTTTTTAAAGATAAAAAAGACATGCACACCCCAATGAGAAAGATGGGATGGAACAATGGCAGCAATGAAAAGCGCGGTAGAATGTCTAAAAGCCTATAATCTGTATAGGCACATCCAGGGCTTTTTTTGTAGAAAAAGCCCAGCAGGAACTCATTAGCATATCAGGCCACACCCTTGACAGCACAGCCTATTAGCATATTAGGCTGCACCCCCATGTTACCAGAAGTGTGGTCATCCAGCCACACCCACCTTTTGCTTCTTATTCTGTTTACCTTGTTGTCACCAGGGCTGTTAGGCCATACACCCCTAATGTAGCCAATTCTAATGAGTTTCTGCTGTTGGCCTATTATGCTAATGAGTTCCTGCTGGGTGTGGCCAACTCAGGAGCCAGACCGAACTCCGTTCCTGTGCGTTCCTGCTCAAAAATAGCCCTCATCTGTTAAACAAATGGAATGACATTATAAAATGATTGTCCCAAACCTTTACATTGCAGTGGAACTGCTTTGAATATACACCAATATAAGCAGAAGAAGGATTAAATGGCAACATTCCAACATATATTCAGGAAGCACACTCAAGTTAGCAGATTTTCGTGATTCCAAAATAATTAATCTCTGCTACATTCAAAATAACGAAAAGTCTTTGAAGAGTAACACATTTATAGAGGCATAAGCTTTCACGGTCCTGAGTCTACTTAATCAGATGCAAAAAAAATGTTTCTTTCAGCAGGCAGAAGGGCCAAACATTAACAATTTTATGTGTACTAGAGGTTCATCAGCAGTTAGCAGTGGTCCACATTCACTCTAATAGGACTGTTTACTCTTTTGACTGGATCTTCATCTGTGCTCTGAAATGTTTTGTAAAATGCCTATTTCTTGGAATACTGGACAGCCTGGCCTTGGTTTGTAACGACTCCATACACACATCTTTCTTCAGCTTGTAGCCTTGTACACTACTACCCATTTCAGGTATCTTATGAAACAGTCTTTGGCTGACAAAGGCTTATGCCACAGCCAGTGTATTAGTATTTAAATCTACCTTTTAAGGGGGACCATTAGAGCTGCTTTATAAATGAAGAAATTAAAAAAATAATAAAGCAGCTGTCAGTCAGTCTAATCTACGTCACAGGGTTATTATGAGAATAGAATGGAGGAGAGGAGAACAATGTAAGCCTCTCCTCTCCTCCATTCTATCCTCATAATAACCCTGTGAGGTAGGTTAGACTGACAGTATATGACTGGACCAAGGTAACCCAGCAAGCTTCAATGGCAGAGTGGGGATTTGAACCTGCATTTCCCAGATCCTGTTGAAGACATCAATGTTGGTGCTGTTTATACTTAAAATGTTCAATATGACACTAGCAATCCATTCCTAAATGGCAATTAGCAGCAACTGAGGCAAGAAAGTTCAGAAAAGTATTGCCTTCTTAAATATTCGCACCCAGGACAAGCAGAAGAGGGCTTTTGATGATGGTGGTGGTGGTGGTGGTGGAACAGGTGATGGTGGTAAGTGTTGTCAAGTCACAGCTGACTTATGGTGACCCTCTAGGGTTTTCAAGGCAAGAGACTAGCAGAGGTGGTTTGTCATTGCCTGCCTCTGCTTAGTGACCCTGGACTTCCTTGGTGGTCTCCCGTCCAAGTACTAACCAGGGCCAACTCTGCTTAGCTTCTGAGATCTGATGAGCTTGGGCTAGCCTGGGTTGGGTTGTCAGGTCCCTCCTGGCAACTGGCAGGGTGTGGAGGGGACTTACCAGGAGAAAGAGAAAGTCCCATTCCATGTTGCCAGCATCGCATAGGAACTGATGTCATCACGCCAGCAACTTTTGGGCGATGCCCTGGTATTTGGGGAAAAACTCCATGATAACACCGGCTTCTTCCATAGAATTTTTGCCCAAATAATAGACTGTCACCTGGAAGTCGCTGGTGTGATGATGTCACTTTCTATGCGATGACGGCAACGTGGACTGAGCCTTTCTCTTTCTACTGCTAAGTCCCCCCCCCCATCAGTCAGTTTATGGGTGGCTAAGGGGCAGGACCTGGTGGTGGGGGACCCCTGCCTCTACTGGGGGGTCTGGCAACCCTAAGTCTGGGTCATCCAGGTCAGAGTGAAAAAGGCCTTTGCCTACCTATATTTGGGTGCTTCAGGAGACGGCAGATCCGAGCCTCACGTTCCAGCTTCTGGTGATCTGTAGAGAAAGAAGTCAACAAATCAGTTCGAGACAACACAGCAAGTGCACCCTTAATTCAGGGGCATGCTGGGAAGTCAAAACATCCCAGGACAATATAGCTCTTAAACAGCCCATGTTTGTCTTAGCTTTGTAAACCTGACAGGCTGAACACGAAGGCTGAATGAGGTGAGGAGGCAGCAGTAGCAGCTGTCCCACACCCTTCACATAACTACCACTTTCTCATCATGAAGAGGACAGTCCAAGAAATACAGTTTACTCACCACTGTTTTCTCTTCACAAAGAAGGCAAGGAGGCAAAGGCACATGTGTTTAGACCTCATGAGAAAGTGGCTGCTGCCTCGGCCTTGCAAACATGGAAGTTCAGGCATGAGCTTACCTTCTGCCTGCAGCTTTCTCCTCCCCCTTGCAAAGCAGTGCCCTTTGTATCCATCCATGGGCTGCCCTTATCATAGCCACGGCCTCCTCTGCTTCACAAATAGAATGGTCCAGGTATGAGTTTGGCAGCTGCTGATGCCTCCTCATCACTCACCATGTCCTCCTTGCAAAGGACATAGAGTGACTTGGGTGGCAGCAGTAGTTTTCTAGATCAGCAGTACATAAGGAAATGGCTTGGTAAATTAAAGGGCCAATCCATGCTTGTCTCATTTGGAAAAGTATATTTGATTATACATTATATCTCAAAATAATTTCCCTAAAATTAGTAACATAATCCCGGCAGCAACTGAAGTAATGCCTAGGGTTGCCAAGTCCCCCCAATGTCCGGGGGATCCCCTGGTTTCCTATGCTCCCCCCCCAAAAAAAAACCCTGGTGCCAGCCAGCTGGCAGGCAGGGGAGAGTCACCGCATGCCTACGTCACCCGGAAGTGACACTCTGGTTTTGGGGCAAAACTCTATGGTAGAATTAGCTTCAAACCATAGCGTTTTGCCCAAAACCCAGAGTGTTGCCCCCGACATCACTGATGTGCCTATGTCACTTCTGTGTGACATAGGTACGTCACGCTTCTTCCCTCCCCTCTTCCAGAGCATCCTGGTAAGTCCCCCAACAGTTTCTTATTTGGATCTGACAACCCTAGTAATAATGCCAGTGGTACAGAAGATCTTGTGATCATTTTAGGCTCAAGGTTACTCATGGAAATGTGGAGCATACCTAATAGATTCTGAGTCAGCTGCTGATTTACAGTAAAATCACACATGCATCGTAAAACACAGGAAGACTAAGATGTGATTAAAATCATTCTTCCTGCATGGCCATCAGTCAATACAGAAACTCACTACAAACACACTAAAACTGCTTTTCCGTCAGTCAGACATCAAAACTCGATATCTATGTATTCAGAAATACATTTCTGTTCTTCACTCATGCACACCAGCAATGGGAGAAGGTCACGTTTGAATTTACACTTAGAACTGCCAACTTTTAATGTCCTTGTGCAATCCAATCTCCCAGGGCTCCCTTTCTGGCTTTTCTACCACGTGCAATCCAACCAGGGCTCCCTTTCTGGCTTTTCTACCACAAGGCTCCTGTGACTAGGGTTGCCAGGTGCCCCCTGGCCACTGGTGGGGGATGGGGGGGTAGGGTTGTCAGATCCAGGTTGGGAAACTCCTGGAGATTAGGGAATGGAGCCTGGGGAGGACAGAAACCTCGGTGGGGTACAAATGCCATAGAGTCTGCCCTCCAAAGTATCAATTTTTTCCAAAGAAACTGATCTCTGGAGTCTGGAGAAGAGCTGTAATTCCAGGGGGTCCCCAGGTCTCACCTTGAGGCCAACCACCTTGAGGCCAGCATCCCTACCTGTGGCTGATTTAGTACCTATTGTTGTTTGTAAAATCAGAATAGCCTCAAATGTAGAAAGAGCCAGTACAGTATGGATCACTTCTTCATGTTATTCAGTGGGGTAGCAATATCACAGCAAAACCAAAAAGGGCCTTGTGGTGCCAATACATTCCTTTTTATGTTTCTTTACATAATCCATTGGTAATATGCAAGCAGGCTAACAATGACAAAACTCTGCACTATACTCAATATGTTGACAAGTGGTTAAGACACTGAATTGCAGGCTGTGGAAGGTCAGTAGTTCAGCAGTTCAAGACCCGAGTGTGCCGCATGACGGAGTGAGCTCCCGTCTCTAGTTCCAGCTCCTGCCAACCTAACAGTTCGAAAGCAAGAAATTGCAAGTAGATAAATAGGTACCACTTCGGTGGGAAGGTAACAGCGTTCTGTGCGCCTTGGTGTTTAGTCATGCTGGCCACATGACCACGGAAACGTCTTTGGACAGCGCTGGCTCTTTGGCTTTGAAACGGAGATGAGCACCGCAACCCTAGAGTCGGATTCGACTGGCTTTCGAGCAAGGGAACCTTTACCTTTATGACTCTTTACTACCATTTTTAAGTGACCCTCCTGCATCCTCTCCCTTGTAATGGTGTTATGTGCACCCTAGTTCATGTTGTTTCTACAATTAGCTGAGCGTCAGGCAAGAGTAATATGGAAGGTTTTTTTTAAACTAAATAAATCTAGTAACTCCTCAGCTCTGTCTGTCTCTGTGCCTCTCCAATGAATGACTTCCTGTAGCTGTTCTTTTACACTTATCTTTCCCCTGTGTCCCTGAGTAATTTCCCCTGACTATTTTTCTAGCTCACTTACTCAGTTCCACATACACTGATATACATCCTCCTTCCCCAAGCAGTGAGACATTTCCAGGGCAATTCAACAGGATTTTGTTGCTTGGCAATGAGATATGATCTTTTGTAATATTCCTTTATTTCCAAAAGTGCAAATAAGCAGACAGCCAGCATAGGGAGAATTAATAGTTCTCAGATATCATGAAAACTGCACCCACAGATTTTTCAGGTACTTTCCTCTTTTAGCACCTTAGAGAGACTGTTCTACCACCACCCACCCTGACCCTCGCAGTTTCTCCTGTTCAAGACTCAAAGTCAACAAACCACTTCTGATTGTTTTCAGCTCTCCCAGGACCAGGTCTTTTGTCAAACTAATGGCCCTTGATTGCCCATCCAGTGCCATTACATAACAGCAGGTATAGCATACAACAACAGCAACAGCAGCATGTAGCTGAGTGAAAATCTTTGGTTTTGAACAGCTAGTGGAAGCTGACAAACTTGTTCTCTAGATATTGAAGCTTCAAATCAAGGATGCCTCTTGGTCTAGTTAGCTGAACAAGCATGATTTTTCCCCAGAACTTTACTAGCAAGATGGTTGTGGAAGACAGTAGACTCCTATAATACAACAATACAAAGGGGAATAGATGGTCAAAATTTACCAACTAGCAGGGCTATTTTTGGGCAGGAACACACAAGAATGGAGTTCCAGCTGGCTCCTAAGTTGGCCACACCCAGCAGGAACTCATTAGCATAATAGGCCACACCCAACAGCAGAAACTCATTAGGATTGGCTACATTAGGGGTGTGTGGCCTAACATGCAAAGGAGTTCCTGCTACAAAAAAAGCCCTGGGTTTTGACAACAAACAAGGTAAACAGAATAACAAGCAAAAGGTGGGTGTGGCTGGATAACCACACTTCTGGTAACATGGGGGTGTGGCCTAATATGCTAATGAGCCGTGCTGTCAGGGGTGTGGCCTAATATGCTAATGAGGTTCTGCTGTTGGGTGTGGCCTATTATGCTAATGAGTTCCTGCTGGGCTTTTTCTACAAATAGAGCCCTGCCAACTGGCAACTTTCCCGCTGGAAGATGTGAGGTCTGTGATTTGATGTTATGTACAAACCTTTGCTAAGCTAAGCAGAAAAAGTATTGTATTAGATCATTTTTCAACTGTAACTCAAAGGGTCTTATCTATGGCATCTGTAAATGTGAAAAAATATACATAGAGTACTTTAAGGCCGATAAAGATCAGAATCACAGAACACAGAAGTTGCATCAGACGAAGAAGAAAAAATGCTCCCCTCACCAAACACTTTGCTGCAGCTGGACACAGTGATAGAGACTTCTCTTTCTTTGCTCTGGAATATGTTCAACCTTGTAACCACCTGCAGATGACTCAGCACTTGAAAACCAGAGAATTGTTTTGGATTCATACCCTCAAAACTTTAACCCCATATCGTCTAAATGAACAGGTGGACTGGTGTGTGGTATGATTTTTTTTGACAGTTTAACATCTAGTTTGCAATTTATATTGTTTTGTAGTTTTAAATGTTATGCTGTATGTGGGATGTGCAATCACATGACTATTTCAAGGCACTCCACAAGGACTGCATCATCCTTCACCTGGTATAAAGCTCCAGCACTTTACTTGTTCAGCACTGCTCTTTGCTTAAGGGCAATTTTACTGAGGACGCCTTGGCTATACAATCTTTGGAAGGCACTTTCTGGAACAGAAGTAACAAAGTAATTTTACTTATTAGTTACTTTTTGAATTAAGTTTCAATATTGTAGAATGTATTGGTTTATACATTTTTTTGTTTTTAGATTATTATCAGTGAAACAACATTTGGCATGTTATTGCACCTTTGGAGGCCTCGTTTATACTTTTATTCTGTGCTTAGTGGTTTAACTTTGGAAGTAAGTCCATATGTTTTTTAGTAGTATATAGGTATCATTTATTTATTCGTTTTATTATATGTATTTCATTTCACATTTTTCTATTTTTTACAGCAATTCTTTTCTGGTCCATCTTGTATCTATGTTACATAATTATATGATTGTATTGTACTATGATATAAGCCAATATGCTCCTCATTATGTTTGACCTCTAAAGAAGGCCTATACTGGCCAAAACACGTCAGGTCAAGTCCATTGGCCCTTGTGTGCTAAATTTCGGCATTTTTACATGAGGTGTGAGTGGGCCCTTATATGCTTTTTAATTCTTTGTTAATAAATACATGTATCTTTTCATACTATATAGTTAAGTTTTTATTGTTGGCCCTCTGTTCTGTTAGACTTTATATTAGTTACAACCATGTAGACAAGTCCTTCAGACAAGTGCCATTTTCACTAGACATGCCCTTTTTCTTTTCACTTCCTA